CCCCCCCCCCCCCCCCCCCCCCCTTATCTGAAGGTCTGAATCCGCCACCGATATGTGACTCTCTACTTAAGAGATTGCCATGGCGCAGCTTCGTTACTTTTCTGAAATCTCGCCGAAATCATCGTTTTTGTGTGTGAACAGAAGCTCTACCCGGTATGGTTTTCGTGCCGGCGCAGTTGAGTTATCCGGTACAGTGTGAACATAGCCGTAAACTCCCTAAAGGCTGATTTCCACTGTCGGGTAATGTTTACGCGCGTAAATAAAATAGAGGCAATGGATGGACGGTCACGCGTAAGCGGGAAAGTTGAGCGAGGTTCAGCTTTTACCTTTACGGGTGGCCTTTCATACATTCCCTCTACTTCATTTACGCTCGTAAATTTTACGTGCATTCGCACGAAAAAATTACGCGACAGTGGAAATCAACCCTTATGGTTATTTCAGAACGAGATTCACGAAAATTGCGAGTTGTAATTGGGTTTCTTTTACTTTTCATATCCGATCCCGGCGGATCTTACTTGAATAGTTTTGAGACAATCTTAATTTTATTAATAGTTGAAAACAGGATTGATTATCTTCTACTAATCTACACTGAGTCTAAAGGAGGAAGAATTCACAACACCACATTATTTTATTACCAATATCGCCATGGTGAGCTCCTCTCTAACGTCTTTGAGTGCGCCGACATCCTCCCAAGTTACATCCGGGATAGTGGCAAATCCCTCCCTTTTGGCTGATGGTTGAACAATCAATAGAGCCGCCTGTAAAGTAGAGAAATGCACTACTTCAAACGCGAACGTAAAAAGCATCAGGATTGCTCTCGGATTAACACAATGTAGGCTGCGATGCAGATGTTTTCTGGGGGCAAAAGGACACAAGAATGCGCTCGTATTATAGTCTCTCTAGAGGTAAAAAGATAAAGCAACAACATTTTTCGTCGATAACTCATGACAGTAATTCAACTGATAAACTTGAGGACGACGGTGCACTCAGTTTAACCCCCTCTCTCCAACAATGCTCCGTTTTAAGGGTATATAAAGCATTGTAGTTAAGCTACACAGAAAGGAGAGAAGTCGAAACAAGGATGTGATTTCACCGAGGATCGAACTCAGAACCTCGCGAACCGAAGGCCGCGCATAAACCAACCATGCAATCCTTGCTCTCTGCTTTCAAAAGTCAAAGATGGCGACTAAACATATTAAACACTGAACGCATGCTTACCACCACCCCCACCCCCTAAAAAGCCAACACTGCGGGTAGGCTATAACAAATGCAAACTGTAATAATAAAACCGACGGAACGGTTTTTTCTATTGTATTGTTACCATTTTCCTTTCACGCTCACAATGTGACTGAAAGTGTATGACAGCAAGCAGTGTAATAGCTAATAAAGGAAGAATAATAAAAATACAAGCCCGCACTTTGAAATCATCCATGTTAATACAAAGCTTCTGTAACTCTTCTTCTGTTAAGGGTGACTGTTCCCTTAACCAGTCCGTCACTGCAGTAAGAAAGTGATGCAAACTTGAGTAACAATTAAAATCAAGTTAGGTATTTACTGTAATTGTGTGGGAGTAGAAACTCGGTGACTGAAAATTTAGATGGAAGGCTATAGCACAGCAACGTTTAACTGTATTACCACTGTTGAAATCGTTTCAGTCTAGAAAGTTGTTACAAAACCTTTTTAGTATTAGTAATTCCCTTGAGGTAGATCTCCACTGTCGCGTAATTTTCATTAGCGTTCGCGCGTAAATAAACTAGAGGCAATGCATGTAAGGTAACGTGTACATGTAAAAGTTGAACCTCGCTCAACTTGTACGTTTAAGCGCGGCCTTCATACATTGCCTCTATTCTATTTACGCGCGTAACTATTACGAGCATGCGCACCTAAATAACGCGACAGTGGAATCACCCTTAAAGGAGCTGTGACGAATTTTTGCTGCGACGTGAAAATTGAAAAGAACCACTTCAAACATTGGAGAAGGTTTTAACAGTACAAATACAAGAAAATGCACAGATGGACAACATTGGAGAATCGACAAACGGATCATTTGAAAGTTTCAATAGGGATTTTTGAAAATTACTTAGTCTAACAGCGTTTCTAGTTTGTTTGGAATGTTATCTTTCACTGCGACCAAACAAAATTGACCGCAATGCGGTGGCACAGTCCCTTGTAGATAAGAAGACAGATCATCAAGCATTTAAGATTAAGGAACATGAAGATCCCACGTTGGAAAATTAATAACATGATTCACTTTCTTAGAGCCTGTCAAACATGTTAAGCTACCTTCCCTGCCTCGTAACTAGCCGCTTCTTGGGATTTTCTGAGGTGGTCGCGGCACAAAGATCATAAGAAAGCTTTGGCACAAGACCATGACCCCTTGCGCCGCGACTATCTCAGAAAATCCCAAGAAGCGGCTTGGTACGAAGCAGCTACCTTTCAAGGCCCAGAAGGCCCTACTTCCTTCGGTTAACAACCGTTAACAAATATAACTCTCACCACTAAATATTTGCGTTGTTTTGTTCAAGTTTTCCTCTGCAACATCA